ATCCTCGCTTTCAGAAGGCCTTTAAAATTCTCATATCCACTTATACATGTGGCTGCAATGACTCAAACACCTTGATACTTGAATGAATTTAAATGTATTAAAAATAAGCATGTTAATGCTAATGTTAGAAATTATTTGGCCTGGCATGCATTTTCTCTAAAGGTTTCCACAAACAGACTAACCATCTGGATTATTGAAATATTTACAAAACTAAAATATTGATATTTGGGTGTAAAAATAAAATGCTTTTTTACTGCAAATACTGGTGTTTATGTGACATGTAAAAGTTATTTTAGCTCTTAGTTAATATGTCATTGTTTTTTAAAATGATTTAACATTAAAGTTATTTAATGCTTAATGTTGTGTTTACATAACTAAGTATAAGACATGTTTTTACTCAACTATTAATATAAAAAAGTTATCAAAACATTCTGCCTTTTCAGAATTCTGTCCATAATCAGTCACAATCAGTCACAATCCCCGCTCTTATCCAGATAAAACTGTATTATTTAGACTAAAATGCATGTTCGAGCTGTCCTAACTTAAAGCAATTTGCACTAACATATATTAAAATATGTCAGTGCCATTGTTTTGTCTCAAGATGCACACAAGTAATAATTTTCAGCCCTGCAATCAACCTTGAGTGCAGGTTGCGTATGTCACATTTATGAAAAGTTATTTAAATGTCCTAATTTAATTAAGGCCTTCCCTGGCTTAATCTGAACCCTTGTCTGCAAAACCAGGCCCTATATGCTTTTATTTTGTATTATTTAGTGTGTATTTGTCTCCATCTTGTGGACAATATTTGGACAGGGGACATTTTTTGACTAAGAAAGTGATGCAATCTGATTAAGTCATATTATAATTATAATTAATATTATAATTCAGAGCTTTTCAGCCTTGTGGCTTGTCACCTACTGTTTAGCTTTAATCAAACACACCTGAACCAGCTGATCAAGCTATTTAGGATCACATGAAAATACACATGCTGGTGTGCTGAAGAAGGTTGGAACTTAAATGTGCAGTGTGCAGATTTATATCCCCTATGACCCCTTTAAAAGAGTAATTAAAAGCTGCTGGCATTAATTCTATGACATTACAGAATGTGTTAAACAGTTCTCATAAAGGTTATAAAGCTCTTATTAATTTTCTGAAAAGAGCAAATGTATATAATAAAATACAGGTAGAAAATACAGGTAGCATTTCCCTTGATATCATCGCCTCACACTCCATCCCAGTAGGTGGACCAAAAGCACCAAAAGCTGGTTTGCCAACCGCCATAAAATATCAGAAGAAGAAGAAGATGTGGTCATCTGAGACAGCAGAAAGTAGCCAGTCAAGCGTTGAGGTTTCTTTACAAAGATAAATTAAGAAATTATATGTAAATAATTATCTAGTAAACAGATATGTTAATGCAAATATTATTGTTACATATTCATCATTGTGTTAGTGTTTTATGTGCTGCCTTTACCTAGATTCTTACATGCTAGTTAGTAGAAGATAAGAGTAGTGAAGCAGCTAGCTAACGTAATGGTAAATAACTACGCTATCGGCTCTTGTGCAAAATAATACGAGTTGTCCTCCATTTGTTCAAATATTTCTTACTTCTACAAACGACCTCTGCTTCTAATAAACCAGACAACGACTACTACTACTTCTTCGTGCGTATTCAATGTAGCGACGATGCAAGCTGCCTCTAAGAACACGAGGAAGAAACGAAGAAGAATAACAGGGACTAAACGCGCTCTGTAGAGTAGTTTGTCCGTTTAGGGCTACTGTAGAAACATGGCGGTGCAAAATGGCTACTTAACCATGGAGGGGGAGCCGCGGTGTATGTAGACAGAAATGGCTTATTCTAAGATAATTAAAACATAACGTGAAATTTGTAAGGTATTTATACACCACTGAAAACATAGTTTTGTATGTTACATTGCATTTCTGTAAACAGATTCTCAAAAATATTACACATTGTACCTTTAAACAAAACGCACAAGATGGTTATACCACTTTATGAAAAGACAGAAGAGTGAACACATTTTGTTTCACTTTCTGTACCTCTTTTTAAGTTTTATGTTTCAAACTTTTTTTTATATCATATTACCATATTTATATGCTACTATCAAATTAGTTTTGAAATGTAGAACATATACCTAAGCTGTATAAATGTCAAGTACAAATGCAATTTATACTTAAAAAAATATTCTCTTTTAAAAGACCAGTAGTGAAAAATGACCACAGACACATTGCAATGCTCATCATTTATTATTTCGTGATGTGAGTTGATGCTCATATTCTTCACTATTTATTCCGATTTTTTCTCGGGATGTACACGTTGGCATGTCAGGCATTTCTCTTGATCCCAACATGTCTTGGGATCTTGCCATACACCCTCACAGCAGAGTGATCTCGTGTAAGGGTGCTTAGGATTTTCGGAGCTGATCATTGATCGTCAATCACAGGAAGCAATATCTGCACATTTTGAGAGGGAAAGAGAGAGAGCGCACAGTGATTCACTCACGCTGTTTGTGAAATTACGTCTCACAGAAAGTTTTCAAATTACTCTGTAAGTTATTTAATAAAGAAATATGAATTGTACCTCACCTTCAGCATTATAATTATTTTACCCGCACCGGACAGAGATTGAGACCGTGCCGCTGTATGTCATGCCAAACCTCTCACAACAGGCGCATCATCAGCTTGAGATCGGTTTATGACATCGGCCTTTAGAGGGACTGCCGATAAATCGGAGCACCCCTAATCTCGTGCTTTGTCTTTATCTTGTGCTTTGAAACCAGCGATGACAAGGAGTTTGGTCCTGGAGAGAGAGAGAGAGAGAGAGAGAGAGATATCTTAATATGAATCTTATAATTATTCTTTGCAAAATGCTTGATGATTCTGTTTACAAACAACCGTGAATTGATGCTCATATTCTTCACCATTTATTCCGATTTTTTCTCGGGATGTACACGTTGGCATGTCAGGCATCTGCCATAAACCCTCACAGCAGAGTGATCTCGTGTAAGGGTGCTTAGGATTTTCGGAGCTGATCATTGATCGTCAATCACAGGAAGCAATATCTGCACATTTTGAGAGGGAAAGAGAGAGAGCGCACAGTGATTCACTCACGCTGTTTGTGAAATTACGTCTCACAGAAAGTTTTCAAATTACTCTGTAAGTTATTTAATAAAGAAATATGAATTGTACCTCACCTTCAGCATTATAATTATTTTACCCGCACCGGACAGAGATTGAGACCGTGCCGCTGTATGTCATGCCAAACCTCTCACAACAGGCGCATCATCAGCTTGAGATCGGTTTATGACATCGGCCTTTAGAGGGACTGCCGATAAATCGGAGCACCCCTAATCTCTTGCTTTGTCTATATCTTGTGCTTTGAAACCAGCGATGACAAGGAGTTTGGTCCTGGACAGAGAGAGAGAGAGAGAGAGAGAGAGAGAGAGAGAGAGAGAGATATCTTAATATAGATCTTATAATTATTCTTTGCAAAATGCTTGATGATTCTGTTTCAAAACACACAAACAACCCATTTTGACAAGATTGTAATCGTATAATATTTTCTTACATATAAACACAACATTATGCAGATGGTAACTAGTCAAAAACGAGTTAAAATTACATATCTAACATAGACTCAACAAAATTCATTTAATTACTACACGATTTAAATAATTTTATTGAAAAAGCTTTGACTCAGCTCTCACTAAGCTAGTAAGATAGCTAAAATGTAATTTGTTAAATTTTATATCTGCTATATATGATCAAAAGTACACAGTTATTAACACTGTAAATAGCAATTTTTATATTTAAATTATGTTATTAGGCTACATGTCAGTTACATTTTAGTTTCATTTTATTTTGTTTTTGTTTTCATTGTCTCCCGTTTTTACACTCTTAAAAAGAATGGTTCTTTATTGGCATTGATGTGCACAAAAGGTTCTTTATGGAAAAAGGTTCTTTGTTCTTTAGATTTTTTAAATGTTCTCCACACTAAGAAAATAATGGTTCTTTTAAGAACTCATTACTGAAAGGTTCTTAGGGAAACAAACAGTGCTAACGTACACTCACGGTGTGCTGTAATGTTTTTGAAAATCATGATCCTAACCTTTATCTCCATACCGAAAGCTTTTAAGAGCATTCCTGCTCTTAATCATCTTTATGAAGGTTCCACCTGCTCCAGACCAACATACAACACCTGAAAATTACATGTGGAATGTGACATTTAATTTAATATAATTTAAATTAAATTATAAATTATTCTAAAAAACACTTGTGCATGTTGTTTTAACAATATTTTATTAAGTAACTTACAAGTTTTGTTGTGGGCAAAACACATGAAGATCTCTCTCCGGGATAATGGATAATAGATAATGGACAAAATTATTATTTCTGAGAACTGTAGCCATGCCAATTGTATGGAAACCCGTTTCCGCCACTGAATAAAAAATAAAAGAGGTAATTGTTTTTTTTTCTCACA